AAGTTGACCAAAAAGCATGAAAAGCTTAGGTGCTCTCATGCTAGTTTGGTCGACAGGTATGAAAACTTGTCAATTGAGCAAACTCATACTATTAATTCTCTATCTTGTGTTGCTCAATTAGAAGATGAGAACTATGTGCTCAAGGACAAAGTGAAAAGGTTTACTAGCAAGAATGAGACTTTGTAAGAAAGTCATGATGTGTTCTTGTGCTCTCATGAGAAGCTTATGGATTTTCATCTCATGCAAAAAAAATAGTCATGAGGTTGTAGTAACAACATTAAAATCATACCAACCTCACACTCACAAGTACACATATACACAAGTTCTATGTATTCTATCACGTGCTAACAATTGTTGCTCTCAAGCAAGCCAACCTTCCGTTGAGCATGTACTTGTAGAAACTTATGATGATTCCATTACAAAAGAAAATGAAGAGCTCAAGGAAGAAGTTGACAGGCTAAAAAGGGACATGATTCAATTGAAGGAAAAGTGCAATGCTCAACCTTCTCAAGATAACCATGAATTTATAGTTTTGAGTTTTATCATTTAAAGTTGTTAATATGCTCAAGAAAATAATATAAAGTTTAGTAGCATATTAATCATGTATCAGGGCTTGTCGTTTTAGAAAAATAAGTCTTTCTTGTATCGTGTCGAAAAAAGATACTTTGTATGTGGAATTTTATATTTTGTATTATCTTAACAATTTCAAATGAAAAACTCAAAACTAGAAAGTTATATGTCCCATTGAGAGCTAAAATTTTCATATAAAAACCATCTCTATTCTAGGTCATATAAAAAAACTATTTTTTTAAAGTAGAGTCTTGCCGCTGACATGTGGATCCCATTTGTCACATCCATGACACTAAGATAGTGAGTGGGGTAAACTCTCATTTAAGGTCTTGTTTGGATGTATGTGTATTCATTTCAATCCACATGTGTTGGAGTGGATTGGAATGTTCAACACATGTGGATTGAGACGAATACATGCGCATCCAAACAAGGCCTAAATCTAGATGAGACCCGTTATAATATCAGAAAGCCAAAAATACATTTTGGAACTCTAAAGACATCTTAAAACGACTTTGAGCACCGCTGATAAACTTTAGATCATATTGAGAGCTTGATGATGGAGTTATACAACTCCTCTCTCCCTCGAACGTCTTTGTGTGCACATGACATGCCACGACCCTCCGTCTCAACCCAGCTTCAGATGCCGTTAATCTAGGCCGCTCGTCCGACACTCAGGTGGCGTTTGGATATTTGGAAACAGGGGGTGGGAAAGGGAAATAGCAGAAGAAATTAATCCAAACCCACGTTTGGGTACATGGTTTGGGAAGAGACACGGTATGGGTATGGGTTTCACGCTTCATCATTCAAAACCCACCGGCGTGGGTGGGTTTGGGCGGGATACGGTGAAGTGGCATACGAAATTACCTTTTTGCCATCGAAAAAGTGACTCTGCATAAAGCTCGGTGCTCTGTTTGTCTCCCTCATCCCGGATCCTCTGGCCTCCAGCACGCACGCCTACCTGGATGCCGCCGCCGTCCACAACCTCCACTATGCGCACCGGTGGCCGCGCGCCCCCGCGCCCCCGTGCCTCCACACGCTCGCGTCCCAGTGCCCCAGCAGCCGCGCACCTGAGTGCCTCGACGAACCTTCGCCTGTCGCCTCGATGGCAGTGTCATCGCCACTCGGCCTCGTGTCCGCAAGCACGGTTGGCCCTCGCTAAATCTCCCGCCTGAATCCTACTTGGCACCAGCAACGCGGCCGCCGACCAGCTTGAGCAGGTGATTTTTCTAATTCTTCCATCCCGTCTCAGTTCCTGCCCTCCATTTTACTTCTTTCGTTGATAGATGGCTGCTTTCTCCCCATGCTTGATGATTGGTTGTGCATCCTGTCCAACAAATCTAAAGTTTCATGTATAGAAAAATTAGGTGGGAAAGAATCACTGTTGGTCGGTTTGTTCCCTGATGCGTTCTAGATTAACTAATAATAAGTACTAGTGCTCTCTTACTTACTTTATTTGCCTAGTGCGTTGATCTTATATAGGATATATGCATGCTTTTGGTCTTGCCTACCAATGTCACTAGTATGTACATTACGCCACTTTATTTGAGTGGTAATTTTCACTAATGTATCCTCACATGTGTAATTAGCCTGCATCCATAGGGATATGCCATTTTATGCATGAATTAATTTTTTTTACCTAACATTGACTTCACAAATACAGAGAGATAATGGCTCCAGGGTGTATCAATATCTTGATGCATCATGGGGGTGCTTTTTCAAAGCATGGTGAACTAACTTATGATGGAGGCGATATCACACTTTTTTCAAAAATTGAGATGGACAAAATGTAGGCTTCAAGGAAGGCGATACTCTCTACTATGTCATTCCTGGCCGTAGCCTTGATGCCACTAGTATTGACCACCTCAAAGATGATGCTTCTGTTTGTGACATGATGAAGTATTCGAATCAGGCCAAGTTTATAGAGGTTTACATTAAGCATAATGAAAGTGTTGTTAGCGCCTATCCAACTTGTGATGACGCGGCCCAACAAGTCAACACTGACGAGGTATTATTTATGCTTCAGTGTACCTAATCTTGCCATGCATATTTTAATTAATTGTGGTTTGCGCACTATTTAATTGTGTGTGTATGTTTGCCAGTGGATGCCTTGTTTTGCTCCTATGTGTTTTAAGTGTAGTGAACCCAAACTTGAAGCTATTATTAATTTCAAATTTTATTTCACAGAAATGGTCCGTCCTCTAGCAAAGAGAGACATCCTAGTCTTATGCCAACAAATGGGACGTCGTAGAATAAGGCTTCTGATGGCATTACATGTGCTAGTACTGCATTGCCTCTTATTGATTAGAAAGCGTCAGATTAGGCTAATTAGGGAACCTTGTAGGTTTGACCCAGAAAGTCGATCAAAGAATTTGAATGATATCATCTATAAAAGTGACATCCTGTGTGTTGAGCAACTGCAGATGGATAGGCGGTGTTTTTGGACTGTAATTTGGTCACATATATTGGGGGATTAAGGGATACTAGAAATGTCAAGGTGGAGGAGATGGTTGCAATGTTTCTACATATACTAGCTTACGACCAGAAAAGTCGCTCCATGATGACAGATTATCAACGGTCTCAAGAGACGATAAGTCGGCACTTTAATAATGTGCTAGGAGCAGTGCTAAAGCTTTGGATGGTGCTGCTTAAGAGCCCACAACCAATCACAGACAACTGTAAGGACGAAAGATGGAAATGGTTTAAGGTAAAACTAAATTAAATAATAAACATTCCTATAATTTTATTTTTAGACTAACAAGATATTTGTTTTTGTTTTCATAGAATTGTTTAGGTGCTTTAGATGGTACATATATAAAAGTTATTCCGTGTAGTTGATAAACCAAGGTATCGATCCAGAAAGAATGAAATTGCCACAAATGTTCTAGGTGCTTGTGCACCTAACATGCAATTCACATATGTATTAGCTGGTTGGGAAGGGTCTGCTGCCAATGCAAGGGTTCTCCGAGATGCTTTGGCTAGGCCAAATGGTCTCAACGTTCCTCGTGGTGAGCAATATTAGTTAAGTACACACTACTGCCCATATACACCTACTAGAGCTTAGAAAATAAATTGTGCTTTATGCAACGTAGGCTCCTATTATCTTGTGGATGTCGGGTATAAGAATTGTGATGGATTTCTCGCTCCATATAGAGGACAACGTTACCACCTAAAAGAATGGAGCAGCCCACCTAAAAAAAAGGAGGAATTGTTTAATATGAGGCACTCTTCAGCAAGGAATGTGATAGAAAGAACCTTTGGTTTACTGAAGCTACGTTGGGGTATAATTAGAAATGGTTCTTATTACCCAATAGATACCCGAATTGGTATAATCCTAGCCTGTTGCTATCTGCACAATCTCATCCGACAACAAATGAGTACTGATCCTTTTGAGCCACAAGTTGATGCTTTCTTGGAGCATGAAGACAACACCTTAGGTGTGATTGACCGTACTGAATCGTCAACTAAGTAGACGGAATTTAGAGATGTTTAGCAAGTATGATGTGGGATGCATGGAAAGCAAAATGTCACCGATAACTTGGCATTGTAATGCTTCACATGGATTTTGTAGCTCACTCTATTGTTCTGTAATTCTGAACATTGTGAAAAATGGTGGTGTGGACTGAACTTGATGCTTGGTTAATGAACCGATGACTATGGCTTGTGTATCGACACATCTCATTTTTTAATGTTTTACTTAGTACCATGTGTCTGTATTCAATGCAATTTTCGTTTCATGCACTAATCATTTGTATACATCTTCATATTTTTTTTATGAAATAGACGTACAAGGGAGACAAAACTATAAAGCTAAGGCTGTCTCCAACAGGAGACCCATTGCGGAACCTAAATCTAAAATGAGTCTCTAACATAATACCTATAACATACAACAGAGTACCTGTATGGAAGACCCATTTTAGATGTAAGGAGAGGCACAATCCAAATCTGAGTATCCTCTCTCGTGTCTTGTGGAGACCTATTTACAAAAATGATTGTTTTTTAAGTCTTATTGTTGGGAAAGACCAATATATATTAAACCCTTTACCTGTACCAAATGATGAATGAACCTTGTATTTTGGTATTTTAGATCGCGGGTGTTGATGACAGTCTAATCAATAGGAGAGACGAGAGACAGTGGACTGCAGGAGAGGAGAAGGTACTTATAGATCTCTGTGACGTCCCCACGATAGGGTTACGGCAGCAGTGCTGCTGCAATTTCCTCTGGTTGCCCTTCAATCCTCGGACCGTGCCCGTGCCAGCCCCATCCTCTACGTCCCCACGCGCGCGACGCGCCGTCACATCCCCGACTCGATAAACCCTTCTCTCGTCCGCCTCCGCGCCTCCCTCCCTCCCTCCCTCTCCTCTCCCGCTTCGTCTTCCCCACCCGCGGCACGCCGCACCCCCAAAACCCTAACCCTAGATTGCGAGAGGACATGGCCAGCAAGTTTGGGCTCGCCGGCGGCATCCCGGAGCGGCGGGTGAGGCCGATCTGGGACGCAGTCGACTCGCGTCAGTACAAGGCCGCGCTCAAGCTCTGCACAGCGCTCCTCGCCAAGCACCCCACATCCCCCTACGCGCTAGTGAGCACTTCATCTCTCTCAGTTGAAACTCGTTTTCGTTTTGGCTCTTTTGGTGTACTTTTGGCGAATCTGGCGTGGAAACGGGTGGTTGGGCAATCAGCAGTCCAGTTCGGCGTCCTTTTGTTATTTTTTCCATTCTCAGCGAAATGTTTGATCAAATGGATGGATAACTAGTGCAGTGATGGTCTGATGGATAACGAGACGATTACCTTTGATTTTATTTTACGTCCTTTCTTTTTAGCTATAGTTGGATTTATACTAGTTGGCTTTAAGCTTTAGTGGTGATGATGTTTAAGGGCTTCGGACATGTTACCTGCTGCTCCAGTTTCAGGCAACAGTGCAACACTCAGCTCGCATGCCTAGTTGGAACAACATATAGAAAAAATCATTAGGAAGCTTTCCACCGGGTGGGGGGAGCCTCGTGCTCAGTTAAGGGAGTTGGCTTAGGCTCGGCCCCATTCCCTTCTTCAGCGAAGAAATGAGGATAGCATCCTAATTTCTTTTAAACCTGCTTTTTCCTTGCTGGGAATCAATGGTATTGGAGCAATTTATGGTATGTGCTGTACACCAGTGCTACATAGACTCGCGTGTCTTTTCTTGTTTTGTTTTGTCATGTCGATGCATATCCCTGTTCGGCACACTCCAGATTTGACTCCAGAGTCTGGACAGAGAGCCAAGGGGGCGGCCTTCTTTGGAGAAGGGCACTGAGTAGTGAGGTAGTCATGGGGTACCTATTTTGCTTCTATTCATAGGTGCAAGCTGGTGTCCGGCAGCAGCAATATATGGCAGCATGGAGGCTGCATTCTGGAAGAAGAAATGACAGTGAAGGGGTGTGTGTGTGTCAGTGTGTGTGTGTGGTGGTGGTGGTGGTGGTGGGCGGGGGATGAGAAAGCGGCAGTGGTGGTTGCTGCGGCATGTGTGAGCCACCTGCAGAAGAGTGGTTAGGGTACTTAATTGAGCTGGATGAACCAGCATGTGGAGACTCCTTGTCTTCTCTCTTATATGTTTCTCTTCCCATATTTTGTATTTGGCTGGATCTCAATTCAAGGTTAGTGTTTGAATAAGTTAATTGTTTTTGCACTTCAGCCTGTTTCTTGCCAACATACTTAGTGAAACCATCTGTTAAAGATATATAATGAAACTCCTCTTTGTTGTTTTTATGCTGTCTGTCAACGCACTGAACTGTTGAAGCCTTACCATAAATTATCTCATTCCAGGCCCTCAAGGCTCTTATTCTGGAAAGGATGGGAAAGCCTGATGAAGCATTGAGCATGTCCCTGAATGCCAAGGAGCTATTGTATTCTGACAACATTTTTCATTTTGATGATCTTACACTTAGCACTCTACAGATAGTATTTCAAAGGCTTGACCGATGTGCGTTTGTACTTGTTCATTTATTTTATCCATTTAACATTATTACTGTAGTATATATCTCTAAATTTTCTCATGACCATGCTAATGCAGTGGATCTAGCTACTTCATGCTATGAGTATGCCTGTACAAAGTATCCAAGTAACTTGGAATTGATGATGGGACTTTTTAATTGCTATGTTAGAGAGTACTCATACGTGAAACAGCAGCAGGTATAATGGTACTTTCATTGCTACTTAATTTACATTCCTTTTGGTATCTTATTTCTATGCTTGCCCTCCTTGCCTGGTATCTTTTGCAGACAGCTCTCAAAATGTACAAAACTGTAGGAGAAGAAAGGTTTTTGCTTTGGGCAGTTTGCAGCATTCAGCTGCAGGTGAGAATATTTCTCATTTCTCATATTTGCATGGTTTGTAGTATATGCATTTGCCATTCCAAATTCGTTACTGGAGAAGGGCTGTTTTGTTCACTAAAGGACTAAGGTAGTTGTAAGTAGAAACATTTGTGTTTGTCATGGACCAATGGGCAGAATTATGGTTAACTATGCGTGTTTCATGGTCCAGTGGGTACAATAATAGTATTACCACTGTAGACTGAACATGACAAGAAGATGATGCATTAGATGTCTAAGAGCGGAGTCACTGGGGTGGGTGAGTGTGCAGAGGAAAAATGTGAGAGACCATCATATAGGAGTGGAAAGAGAATGATATAAAACATCAAAACTGTCAGGTCTCCTTTGTGCTGGTGTAGTGTGTGTTTGCTTTGGTTGCGTTGTTTCATCGTTTGTCACAGGTGAGTTGGATTGTTAGTAGCATGGTTTTTTGTGGTGTTGGTGTGTGCGTTTGTAGGGCTCTTCCCTTTTTTCTTCTTCTTAATATAATGATACACACCTCCACTGCATGTTTGAGAAAAAAATGTTATTGGTTCCATTGGTTTGATGTAGGGCTGACCCCGACAGTTGTCAGGGCGCTGATATCCTTACAGACCTAGAAATATTATTTGTATCATTTTTTGAAATTATTCATAAAAAAACTCGACCGGAGGGGTATGACTGCCCCCACGGCATTCCAATAAGAAGACCTTCTCACCAGGCCGAGAAAACCCCCTGAACCCCCGCCCCACCCTTACACAGCGGAATCCTTACAAGTGAGAATTTGGCCGGGCCTTAGACCTGTGCTTTGGTTTATGGGCGGACGAGGGGATTTTTTTTTACCTCAGCCTAAAATTCGCTCCCATGGGGAGTCAAATCCTGGACCTGAGGCATGCTACTTAGACGTCCTAACCACTAGGCTAGGCGCCCTTTCGCTTTGAAATTATTCATAGGCATCTGCATGTGATGTACGGTTGACTTTTAAACATTTAACTACCCAATTAAGTATTTGTTATGTGTGTCGTTTGCTACTTCTATAAATATTTACCTATCCACTTTTGATTTAATGCACAACATATTATTTGTAATGTGTATCAAATGTTACTTTTTATTCTTTGGGTTGTTAGGTGAATATATGTATTATATTGCTGAGTTGAGCATGAATCCATCTGATTCGATGCAATATTTGAATGCACTATTTTCTGCTGCACATTACATGATTTTTTTGTCACTGCAGGTGCATTTTACCAGTGGTGGTGTGAAATTATTGGCACTAGCTGAAGCATTGCTGAAGAAGCACATAAATTCTCATAGTTTACATGAGCCAGAAGGTATTTCTGTTTTTTAAATGCCCTTTGTGATATTAGTTATCCTTTTGTTTTTCCATACACTGATGTGGTTCTTTCCTGACATGTTTGGACTATGTGGCAGCACTTTCTCTCTATGTTTCAATCTTGGAGCAACAGGAAAAATATGATGCTGCTTTGGAAGTTCTTTCTGGAGACTTGGGGTCTCTTCTGGGAAGGGAGGAGGACAAGCTTCGTTTGCAGGTAACTTAAATCAGTTTTCTTGGACAATATCTTGTTGCATTTGGTTGATCCAGGCTACAAGTTTCAATTAACCACATTTACCTTTCCACGTTCCGTTTCACTGTAACAAACAATATTTGGCAACATCTATTCGTTGCTGCATTTTTGTGTCACAGTAGTTTACAAGTTGATTATTTACCATCATTACTGTACTATCTAGAGTGAATCGATATGGCAGCTCCTGACAAATAAAGGGTTTGGAATTTTTCTATTAACTATATTAAGTACTCCCTCCTTATACCAAGAAATTTGGGTAGGGCAGTCATTTTATCAGTGGGTACTAATGTCGACAAATGTATTTAGATTGACTAAGTAAAGGTATAACTCGTCATGCAAATATTTTTCCATTATACAAAATATTTCAAGTTGCAGCCAACGTATTACCATGTATACCATGGACATTTTGGGTAAGGCAGTCATTTTTAGAAGTGACTGCTAATGCCAACAAATGTATTTAGATTAAGTGAAGGTAGTTGTCATGCAATTTTTTTCCTGTTATATACTATATATTCCATTATACAAAATATTTCTAGTTGCAGCCAGCATATTACCATATATATACCGTGGACATTTTGGGTAAGGCAGTCATTTTTAGAAGTGACTGCTAATGCCAACAAATGTATTTAGATTAAGTAAAGGTAGTTGTCATGCAATTTTTTTCCTGTTATATTCTATATGTTTGTAGTTGCTACAATCATATATATGTTATCAGGTATAGTTACCTATTGTATGATGTGTGCTGTGTCCAAACCAACGGAGCACGTTGCACAGAGGGAGTACTATTTTGTAAAGCATGTTGCACAGCACATGCGATCTACTCTTTACGTGCTTATAGATGGCTTCTTTGACCTTCGATGCTCTATGTTTTCCTCCTTTGGTTAATTTGCCTCTTAAGTATCATTCACTTACTTGGTTGTCTAACTTCAAGTTGACAGGGACGTCTTCTTGCTCAAGCAAGTAGCTATCCGGCTGCTTCGGAAATATATCAGAAGGTTCTGGAGTCTTGGTAATGGTTCTCATCTTTAATTTGTATAAATTTCAGTTATCCTGTGGAGTTGGTCATTAACCACGCTCACATTAATCATGTTTCAAAAGTCATGGCCTGTTTTCAAAAAATGTCCCTGTGTATTGATTTATCCTACTTTAGTCATATATAACCTGGTTCTTTTTCACTACAATACATATTTAAGTTTTATTTGTGACATTATCCGAACAGACACTGCAATACTTTGCTTTGTTTTATCCTCTTTCTTGTTGCATAATATTTTTATATACACCATTTGTAAATTTTCTTATTTTAACTTTTTAGTTTTTGATGTTTGTCATCTCCTTTTGACTGGGCAGTCCTGATGACTGGGAGTCCTTTCTCCATTATATAGGATGTTTGCTGGAGCATGACGTGAATCTCCCTAAACCATCCACTAGCGAGCACACTTGTCCTTCTTGCTCTGTTGATTCAGCATTATCCAACAAGACTTCTCTTAGCAAGGAGCTTGTACTTCCTGCAACTCTTCTAGTTTGGTGTTTGTGATGTGAATATAGTTTACTGAAATTATGTCTTTGTAGGTTGAATCTCGCCTTACAAGTGCGTTATCATTTGTGCAAAGTCTACAAGAAAATAACTCAAGCGATTGTGTCAGAGGACCTCATTTAGCTAATATTGAAATTGAACGGCAGCGGTGCCTCAATGGAAACCCAGATAATATCAAGCTTATGGAAGCTTTGGTGAAGTACCTCCACAGGTAATATCAAGCTCTTGTGCATTCCTATTTGTGCTGTGGTCTATTTTTACTTGTGGAATCCCAATATGCCATAATACTGGATGTACAGAACTCCCAAACGCCTAAGAAATCCGGACTGGAGGGAGTAATATTTTTCCATTTTACTTAACTAATCTTTTAGAATTGTTAGTTATTTTAGATGGAGGGAGCAATTTATTAGGTTTCACCCCCTCTTTCTATCTTTTTTTCTTTTTTCATAGTACCCTAGCAGTCTGTTGGTTTCTAATAGTTTAGTGACCTGGTTGCTACGAGACAGTAATTATATCTCTAGCTAGTTTCTTCACTGTTATTACGTTTATACTATAATAACATTGCTTTTGCTGAGTAGTTGGTATAAACCAACTTTGTACACATATAACTATATAAATGCTATATACGTGTTTTTCATATTCAGTCTTAAGGTGATCCCTCAAGGACATCTCACCGCAAAAGGGAGTTTAGGATTTGCCACCCTGTCTATTACCTTTTTCATAGAGTGTCCAATTATGGCAAATTGCGGAGGGCTCAAATCCTATAATCTCCCTTATTTATGTTTAGGGGTTGATATCGAGCTGGCTCGGCTTGGTATAGCTCGAGCTGGCTTGTTTGGATAACGAGCTGGCTGGACTCGGCTCATTATCCCACCGAGCCCCAGTCCTGGCTCAGCTCGGCTTGTTTGGCTCGCGAGCTAGTTGTAAATACATGAGCCCATAGCCCCATATGCAAATACATACAACAATCTTTAAGATGTAATTCAAACAACAGCAGAAGGGGATTTTGCATAAGCTAAAACTCAGACCAACAGCAGTTCGCATAAGCCAAATCAAACCAAGTATTTTTGAGCCAATATGACATAAACCATTAGCACAAAAAGCACACGCATGATCCAATTCAAAAGTTCACAGGCCAGTAATTCAGTGCAACACACCCCTTGGCTTTGTACACGGATATGGAGACCAATTTGCAGATTCCCGAGCCAAAAGGCCATGCTTCCATGTACAGGGTCAGGTTCCTCCCTCCTTGGCTCCTCCGTGTCTTTGTTCTCCATGGCCGGCACACACTCAGCAGTATGAGAGCTGCAAGCGGTGGGCCACGAAGACAAAAGCAGGATTCCAGGAGGAGGCACTTAGTGTTCGGCTCGAGATGGAAGTTGGGCTGGGCCACCCACTGATCGCCTGCTGGCCTGCTATGACCTCAGCACGTTATTGCTCTCGAGCCAGCTCGAGCTGGCTCGTTATAGGTATACTGAGCTAAAGCGTTGGCTCAGCTCGTTAAAAAATTTCTAACGAGCTGAGTCGAGCCGAACCACTAACGAGCCGAGTCGATCCGAACCACTAACGAGCCGAGCCGAGGCGAGCTAGCGAGCCACGAGTTTTTGTCCAGCCCTATTTATGTTGATCTTGGTGCCCTCTGTGGCATTAACCTCATTACTTGAGTGCAGTCGTGGCAAAATGAAGTTTAGATTTGAGGCTAGAGGCTGTAGCACTTAACTAGAGGGAAGATAGAATAGCAACATAAGTCCAAGCACAAGCAGGATAGAGTTTTGCCGAATAAGGGTCATCTATGGGCTATGGCAAAACAATTCTAAGGACTGTCTGACCGAAGGGATTCATCAGATATTAAATGGATAACCTGTGTCCAAATTCGGACATTCAATATCCGTACTGTATCTGAATCTGAATATATATGATGTCAACATCCAGCATATCTTATCCAAACAACTCACATTATCTGTACCCAAATCTAAATCCGAGAAAGAAATAACTATATCTGTATTCATAACTGTAGGGTATCTGTCCTTATCCGATCCGTTTTACACCCCTAGTGGAGGGTATCTGGAATGGCAATATAACTCCAGCATGCGATGGATAGAGTTCGACCTGGTCTTATATGGTAGCTGTGTTTAGAGAATGAAAGAACGAAGAGAGGACAAAATTCACTTTGTTCTCATCGCAACAGATGTTGATGAGTGTCATTTTCCATAATTATAGGTTCTGTATGATAGTACTAGCATTGTGATGGTATATTCAAGAATAACCATATTTACCTTTTTTTTTCACTTTCAATACTAGTCTACTTAAATTGTTAAATGTTGTTTTGGCACTTGCAGATTTGGTCATTTGTCTTGCTCAGCATCGGATGTTGAAATTTACCTTCACATGCTATCCAACAATGAGATGTCTGAGCTGCTAGATGAAATCACTAGATCTTTTGATGCATCATCAATTTCAGTTAACACACTGGGTTCAACAATTACTCTTTTCAAGGTCCAAGAACTTTTGGGAACTTTATTCACAAAATCAACTTCAGGTGTGCAGGGCTACCTTTGTTGAAGTGTTACATGTTTGTTGAATGTTTTTCTGGGGGTCCCAATTATCATTTGTTTATTATAAAATGTACCTGAAATTTTATGTGCAAATCCAGAACTTCAGGGCATTGCAAAAAGAATGGTTGATACCTTTTACAAAAACCTGCCTCTCTCAAATGACTTGGATCCTCAGGAAAGCATGTATGGTGAAGAACTTCTGTCAATGGCCAGCAGTATCCTTGTGCAGGTTTGTAGCTTTATTTGATTACTACTAGCACGAGAGAAAAAGGGAACATATTAAGCTTTTTTCATGTCTCTAAAAATCTATAAAAAAATAAGATCTCTAGAGGTTTCTCTGATGCTTATTTCTGTTGTGTAGTTTGATTCCCAATTTATTAACTATTACTCCCTCTGTCCCATAATAGAAGACCTAATAGGTCTGGGCACGGGAATTAAGAAGAGGAGAAAAAGTATGATGCACAGAAAATGAGAAGGTGAGAGATAGAGAGAAATAGAGATAGAGGTGTATTGGAAAAAGAGAGGTGCATTGTGAAGTGAGAAGGTCAAGTATTTTGGGACAAAATTTGAATTCTATAAGGTCTTCTATTATGGGACAGAGGGAGTAGGTCACAATTCGTTGTCCCTCTATTGTGTCATCCAATGAGTTACCCTTTACTCTGATGTTTGAAGATGTATCTGGATTTTCCCCTTTGTTTTCTGGAAAAATGGAAGCAGGATGCTGTCATTTCTTATTCATTTGCTGCACTGCAATTTATTACTTACCCAATCACTAAAATAACTCCATCTAGGTTTGTTCTTAGTAAAAAAATTTATACTTTGACTAGCAATATTTATAAAAGTAGGTCTTAGATGAAAAGAATTTTTTTATTGAACTAAATGTAAAAGAGTTATATGCTACAAAATTAGTTTTCCTAATGAATTTAGTAATATCAATCTTGCGTTGTCAATCGCTATGAAATTTCGTAAATGAATGGTCAAAGTTAAAAAGTTTTGCTTAAGACAAACCTAGATGGACTTATATTTCTGATAGGGGGAAGTAGCTTTTTGTTTGTGTACTCTGACTCTGAGTCATGATACCAAGATCGTGATATATTATAGATAGTTAAGACTCCTGGACCTGATATAGTATATTCTGTTGTCTTTGCTGTCACTGAACTCCAGTAAAACTTCTTATTCCTCCACTTTTTAAGATTACAAATTTGTCTTGGACTTCTCACCATCTAAAGTTCATGATTAATTGCGCTCTTTAATACCTTGAAGCAGCTATACTGGCGCACCAGGGACTTAGGATACCTACTTGAAGCAGTTTTGATACTGGAGTTTGGATTGACTGTTCGCAAGTAAGTTCATAATCATAATAATCCGGTCTTAAAATTACCATTTTATAACTAATATTTTATTCTTCAGCTGTGTCATTGAATATCTAGTAACATGAGGACTGAGGTGTTATCGAATTACTCAGTTCCATTGATTTAAGAGTGGATAGTTTTGATGCGGTTAACAGCATCTCTTTTAGGAATTAGATGTGCTCCTGTTCCTGGATTCAGTATGAGCATATCTTAGACAAGCTCTGTTATTCCATCAATTGCTTTTGATGTTTGCTATATTACTAGGATATCTATTTTCAGTTTCTCGTGTGTTCTGTTTCACAAATCCTGCTGGTGGAACTTGCATGTGCCTTGAAGGCAAAATTATATGCAAAAAGTGATTGTGATATATGATAGTTCCCATGAACTATTGAAAATTTAAAATATGTGGGCATTAATGGTTGATTTATTATATTTTATTTACCAAAGTAAGCATTTGTTTGTTTGCAATATAATCAAGTAGACTGGTTCTACTGGATCCTGTTGCTTCATCTATGCTGGCCTTTATTCATGGGTATCACAGTCAACTTCCCATCACATGCATTGTCCTGCTCTTGTTACATGCACAAACCCATCTTATGTCTGGTAGACTGGTTGCAACCTGTTCTGCCAACCTGGTGCAGTGGTGAGAGCTGTCTCACTGAGTCACCAGGTCATGGGTTTGAAGCAGCCTCTCCACAGATTTTGCAGGGGAAAGGCTTGCCTCGGTTTTTCCCTTCCTCACCATGTTTGCAGCTAATATCTCTCATGAATATCAATTATCAATAATCTCTTAGAACTATTAAGTCTTTTTGCTGTAGAGCCTTCTAGGAATATTATAAAAATGTAACGTTGTGTTTACATGTCTGTTGTGAATTTAGCTATGCCCCGCCAGTGTGATTTGTATCAGCATATATTGCGTGAGTAATATAAATGCTCACTAATCTTTAATAAGGAAAAAGAACTATTGAATCTCTTGGATAGAGGAAGCTACAACAAATCTGTAACTAATCAATCTTTTTTCTTTTATATTGCATTCGTGTGTGACTGTGTCTTAATTGAAGTGGTCTGATGCACATCCCAATGTGCAGTACCTTGCACCTGGCAACCTAATGTATTTCTCTGACTGGATGTTGAATGGAAATCTTTAATTTGGTTTTGTGCTCAGGCATGTCTGGCAATACAAGATTACTCTGGTGCATCTTTACTCTTACCTGGGGGCACTTCCTTTAGCACATAAATGGTAATTTCTCCTTTTAATATGTTATTTCCTTTTATCTTCTCACATTTGTATTCCACATGAATTTTCGCCCTACAGTGCAATCCAGTGTGGTTCGCCTAGAGGTTGCTTCTACAAAGAACAACCCTTTATTAGCTGCATCCGATGTGGTTCGCTTATAGAATGCTTGTTTTTGTGTTGCTTTGGACTTATGTTCCAAGTCCTGCCCCCACCCCCCCCTCTTATTCAGTGAAATCATTTTCTTATCCGTACACTGAGCGATGTTTTTATATGCAGGTACACAACCTTGGAAGTGAAAAACATTCTTCTAGAGTCTGTTTTGCACCACATCTTGCCACAAATGTTAAATTCTCCCTTCTTGCAACATGCTGCTGATCTTGTTAAGGATTATTTGAAATTTATGGATGATCATTTGAAAGAATCTGCTGATCTTACGTGTCTCGCATATAGACACCGTACATACTCAAAGGTAGGCATATTCCTCTCTATTGCTCACAAATAGTGTCTGCATGGAACCATGTAAGGAAATACATAGTACAACCGATATGATGCTCCTATCATTATGAAAATGCCAATGCGCCATGTCAAGAACAGACTATTACATGATTTACTTAAGAAGGAAATACTTCAGTCATCCAATCTTGATCTAACACATTTGACTTTTTTTTATTCAGGTAATTGAGTTTGTTCAATTTAAAGATCGCTTGCATCGCTCCATGCAATATCTTTCTGTAAAATCAGATTCTGTTATGCTACATCTGAAGCAGAAGGCAGACTCTCTTGATGAAGTGGAGGTGAGGCCACCCTTGCCAATTTGAAAGCATTGCTCCGGCCCAAATTTGTGCTAAAATATGGATGCATGTGTCCTTTTTTGTCTTCTGCTTCTAACCATTTTGAACATGTAATTTTGGATCTGAAGTTATGTATTAGTGCGGCATGGTAATTTTGGATCTTAAGTTATTGATGCTTGACAATGCTTATATTTGTTGCTAATCTGAAGATTGTTATTTTATTTCTGATTGCAGTCTATTCTTGAAAGTGTTAGCCATGGAACAAAGCTGGTTCAGCTATCTAATGAGGATAGCATCAAAGATTTAACCTTCAACGAAGATCTTGATGCACGGCCTTGGTGGACGCCAACAAGCAGCGTTAATTTTCTTTCAGGTATGTGGTTCTTGTGATGTGAGTTTCAGTTATTTTCTCCATTTTGGGTCTCTATATTCTCTCATGTACAAAAGTGCTTACTATTATTGTCATGACTTTACAGAACCATTTGATGAAAGTTCAACACCTGCAAGCTATAGCGCCAAAATGGTATGCCATTTTTAATCGGACCTTATCTAAGCTAAGTTAGACAATAGTTAGGTTTCACAATCGTGTGTTGTTATAAAAGGACTGCGTTTTGTCCATTGGCATTAAATGACTTATACATGAAGAGATTATATTGGTAAATGTCACTCCTTAATAGACATCAATGCTATCTCTTACTGGGCGCATCAATGCATATATTTGTTTCTCATGTCAACCATTCGTGCCCTCAAAAGAACTATATCTTTGCAGTGCAAGCACAAATCTAATGAGAAGGATGGTTCAAGGTGAAAGATGTAGAGAAAAATCTCTTGTTCCTCGACTTGTTTATCTTTCCACACATGGTTGCGCCGCCTTTTCTTAGGGAGAGTGAATCAAATGGTCGCGTCCTCTGATGTAACTGCTTCTGGGGAGATGAAAATTTTGCTTGAGAAATATGCTAGGAGTATTGGTTACTCTTTTGACGATGCTCTAAGTGTTGTTCTGGGTATCTCATCTGGCAAGAAGGCTGTCAAGGTAACACCTTTCTATCCTGGTTGTATTTTCACACTTTTTTCGGTTTATATGCTTGCTATATTATTGTGTTTCTGAAAATCATTATCTGCATTTTTTTCAGTATAAACTCATGTTGATCACATTTTGTAGAATTTGTTATCCAGTAATTATAGTTGCTTTTCTATATTCGTTATTAAAAGTTTTTATTATAGTTATTTTTATTTGAAATAAGAAGGGCGGGCCTGGTGCAAGCGGTAGTCTTACCACTGTGACCGGAAGGTCCTGGTTCGAGTCATGTCTCCTCCTCGCATTGCATGCAGCCGCAGTAAGGCTTGCCACTAACACCTTCTCCCAGTTCCCCGCACAGAGCGGGAGCTCTCGCACCGGTATGCCCTTTTTTTATTTGAAATAACATAATGCAGTAGAAATCACTAAAGTGCTGCCATATCCTTGCGGGATGTAATGTCTTTTGTATATTCTCGTAGAAATTATCTTTTTTCCCCTATCTTTTTTAGGAGAATGAGATTTTTCTAATTAGCAGTATGCATTACAATTTCTGGGGAATGGACTTTTGTATGATTATTACTGGAGTGATGTATCATATACTGTTCATAGCGAGAGTATAATGATTGATTTAGCTGGTGCCTTGCTAATGCAGTTTACATTTGCAGGATTTTGCTCCTGATATAGTCAGCTGGATGAGCTTTGCTGTGTTTATCAATGCTTGGAACTTGTGTTCCAATGTGTCAGTGATCCCTGGAACTGACCAAAGCAGCCAAAATTCCTGGTGGATTGTGGATAACCTCGTCAAAACTTGCATAGATCAGCAATTGACTGATACCAATCAAATGCTGACTTCTCCAGGAAGCAATATTCCACTTCTAGCGTGGATGGTGACAGAGCCCATTTCCTGGCACCTTCTTGTAATCCAATCCTGTATGAGATCAATGGCTCCACAAGGGAGGAAGAAGAAGAAAGGCGGTCCATCTGAGCGACCAAACACACCTCACCTGCAGGCAATTCGGAGCTCAGTTCAGTGCATGGCTGACACTCTCCAGAGAGTCCAGAAATGTCTGTCAGACCAGATGAAGCCAGAAGATCAAGCTCTGGACGTACTGGTGTCACATTTGCAAGGAACCAGCGCCGAAGGCCCTGGACAGATCACCCGTGTCTTGGATGAGAGCGCAGCAGCTGCCAACTCCAAAATCGGTGGCCGGATCGCCCATTCTCTAGAACCGTGGAGCTGTGCCTGTGTGATGAGAAGAATAGTTGGGGCTGAGAGTGAGACGATAGCTGAGTTGAGGAAGATATGCACCTCGAAGCTGAAGCTCCTTGCGTCCGCATCAGCTTCCCTGTCCTTAGTGTTGCACTAGGCGTGGAAATTTTGGTGGTGAGATTTTTTCTCCTCATCCCCGACTGGTGTGCCTTCCTCTTGCCCCTTGATGTTGTAAACTAATGTGCGTTTGTGTTTGTTGTTTCTATGCAATTTTGATTTGGAGTGACATCCAAGTTTCCGCGTTATTTGCATGCTTGCTATCTTCGATCTTGGTGAACTGTTGCTAGAATTCATAGTTGTATTTGTCTACCAGTTGAGGGCCCGTCTAGAACAAAAGATTTTTACAAGATTCAGTTTGATTTCATAGGGGAAAAATGCAGGATTTAGGAAAAAAAAAATCCTTGGTTATAAACATGCAGTTTGATACTGTGGTTGAAATAGACGCTCGTCTTCAGGTGTCTACGCTGTGTCACATGCAAATACGCAGCTTGGGTCGGCAGAGTCGCATAGGTGGAGCGAAAAGGCACTCTGTTCTTTGCTTGGGTCGACACTCTGTTCTTTGCTTGAGTCGGCACGGACCCGGAACGAACAAGAGCCAGGAGGATAGGTCAAAGGTGGTGAACGAATTTGTTAAGGGCATGTGTGGAAGAGATTCTAAAATCTGGATTAAAATAATCTCTGATGTCTTAGATTCTGTGGCTGCTGAAATTCTAGACGTTTGGATGAATCCTTTAGAATCCTAAGGGCCTTTCTGGCATCGGTCCTAGCCTTAGCTTCGTGCGTAGGTGGTGTTTGGATGTCTGTGGTCGCTGTTCTATTAAATGTTTATATATATATATATATATATAGAGTATTAAATATAGACTAATTATAAAAGTAATTGCATAGTTTGTAATTAATTTGTGAGACGAATTTTTAAGCCTAATTAGTCTTAATTTGACAATGTAGCGCTACAGTAAATATGTGTTAATGACGGATTAGTTAGGCTTAAAAAATTGGTCTCGTGGAGTACTAATGGATTATGTAATTTGTTTTTTTATTAGTAACCGAGCACCTATGCAATATTCTTTCGACATATCTCCTAAATTTTAGTTATTGAATCTAAACACCACTTTAGTTTTCGAGTAGCCCTGCCAAGCACTTAAAGTACAACTAGATTTTAGTGGAGATTTATGAGAATCACTTCTTTATTTACACAGTGAGAGCTAGGCAAAAACCCTACCCTCCACTTCTCACTGCTTCTCGTTCATTTGACGCAGGAATCACTTAATTGATCCTCACATGTTCCTCCCACTGGAATAATTTCTTCGGAGAATCAGGAGCGAAGCTCAAGAACCAGGAACGAAAGCTCTATCAAAGTGGCGCTAAGTTGTTTGGATGAGATTCCATGATTTTTGAGATTTTTTTTTTCTATCCAGATTCTCAGAATCGCTGTGGATCCAAACACCGGCTGTAAAAGAGATGAGATAGACGTGACTGGTGAGTCGTGATGGGCATGGAGATGGAGGGCCATGGGCGGTCGTTTTCGCTGTCAGCCGTGCAGGTTGCGAAGGGAAGAGTGGTGCTCCTCGTCGTCGTCGTTGGTGTTAGGTCATGCTCTGTCTGCCGAGGCCGCTGCGGTCTTGACCGCTGAGACCCTGACCCTTGTTTTTGTAGCATACCACAGTAGCAACCGTCCACTCTCCCTATCCCTGTTCACTGTGCAAGCAACGCAACTCTGATCCTGCACGCTGCGTCTGCGTCTGCGTGCACACGCGTACGAGTATGATATGATAATTAGGGGTGTGCTATTTTATACTATATAAGGCTATCTCCAACAACAACATTCAAAATACAGGATCTATTCATTCTCTGGGTAGCGCTACAGACAAAAGTTTCGATACCTAATCGGCATCTTCTCAACAACAAGGTCTAAAAGAGAATTCTTTCTGCAAATGGGTTTCAGAAGAGAGGATGTCCATATTTGGATTGTGCCTGTCAGACAACTCAAAATAGGTCTCTCATATAGATACTTTGAGAAAACTGATTTTAGATCTCTAGATACTTTGAAAAAATTAATTTTAGATCTCTCGCTATCTATTTTAAGTCTGATACCTGTACGCTAGTCTAACAGTGCCGTTTCATGGCCCGCGTGTTCCTTCTCGGTCCTCCCCCCCTTTGTTTTTTCTTTGCCTTGTTCCTTTTGGTTCTTCTCGGGTCCAAAGCAAAGGCGTGATACGAAGCGCAAACAAAATGGTAGCCGTACGAAGCGCAAACAAAATGGTGGAGCGGGTGTTGTGAATGCGTCACCTACAAGTACGTGAATACGTCGACAGTCTCATCTTGTCGTATGGTACAGGAGAAATAACATTGGGCCTGACTGTATTAAAGTCGGCTGATAACCAAAGCTATTTTATTACGAGAGAAAAATACTGTAGATTCTAGTTAATAAGTTGGTTAATAAATTTAATAACATTGAGCCTGACTAGTATTAAAGTCGATTAATAAGCTGACTGAAGCTATTTTATTGTGAAAGAAAAATATTTTAGATTCTAGTTAATAAGTCGGCTGATAAATTCAAACGAACAAACCGAAATCTCGTGAAAGCATATGGTTGGAGTCAATCGATTAATAAAATCATCAAAAAGCTAGCTCAACAGTTTCGGTGTTGTACATGCCAGTCTCTTACGACCATAACCGGGCTAAAAATTGTACATTGTGATCCTTAGGTTCATACGAACTATTAGCCCTTGTTAATAGCTTGGTAAAAACTAGCACTCCTATTTAGGGGTGTGTGGTTTATACATATCCTCCTAAAATTTCTGTCACATCGAATATTTAGACATATGTATGGAGTATTAAATATAGACTAATTACGAAACTAATTACACAACTTGCGACTAATTTACGAGACGAATCTTTTAAGCCTAATTAGTTCATGATTTGACAACGTGGTGCTACAGTAAACATGTGCTAATGACATATTAATTAGGCTTAAAAAATCGTCTCGTAAATTGGCCTCTATCTATGTAATTGATTTTATAATTAATTTATATTTAATGCTCTTTATTAGTATCTAAACATTCGATGTAACATAAATTTTAGGGAACCAAACACCCCTTAAACAGACTACTGCTAGTTTTAGCTGCTACTCGTTAGACCATAACATCAAAAAGACTCTTACTGCACGCATGATTAATGAAAGCACGCAGGATTGTAGTAGTACAAAGAAAAAGGAAAAGAAAAGGACAAAGAAAGAAAAAGAGAAAGGGAGAGTGAGAGTGGGCCATGTTTAGTTGCCCTAAATTCTAAAATTTGGCACTATGCAAAAAGAAGATTCCTCGTCACATCAAACTTGCGGTACATGCATGGAGTACTAAATATTAATGAAATAAAAAACTAATTGCACAGTTTGGTTGTACTTTGCGAGACGAACGTTTTGAGCCTAATTAGTCAACGATTGAACAATTATTACCAAATAAAAACAAAATGCTACAGTGTAGCTACAGTGTCCATTTTCAGACGGCGCCGAATCAGGCAACGAACTAAACGCGGCCTGAGCTATCCATCAATTAATTCCATCAGGCCCTGCACGCCGGAGCGACGCGCCGTGCCACCGTACATTTGCTGTGCTCGCTACAGACAGATTCGGCGCCGTCCTCCATGACTTGCTTGTAACAGCAACAGACGACCACCTCGTGATACAGACAGATTCGGCGCCCCTCTGTTGACTCCCACGCCACGCGTCTCCAATCAACTCATCCACGGACGACGTCCCACTGTCTCTTCCTCTTCTCTCAGCTGAATGATCACCATATAGTATTGTATCACGCTTCATGCAGTGGGTAAAAGCTTTACCTTTGTGTGCTACATCCCGTCAATTGAACCCAGCTAACTGAATCACTCGGGGATACATTAAGCGTGTTACATTCCTCTTTTCCATCCTAAAATAAATTGATTCGTAGCGAAATGTTTTATCCCACAAAGCCTTGACCTTCTCCCTCCTCACTTATAGGTGCCGTTTGGATTTAGGGGATTTCGAGAATCCGGATAAAAAATCTCTTGGATTTTGAGATTTAAAAAATCTGAGTTAAAATCTCTATAACTAGACCATTTGGATGAGAATCTAGGATTTTTGGATTTTTCTATCCGGATTCTCAAAATCCAAAGGACCTATGTGGGTCACACGTTTGTCACCACCAATCCTCAAGTCAGGTGGAACAAAAAATTAAATTGGTCTTGGGCACGTCAGGTCACCACCGCAACACACAATTGTCGCCTGCTCCAACCCTCTCCCAACCAGCGCCGCCGCCGCCCTATCCCACAAACCTGCTTGATTCCCCTCCTCTCTCCTAACCGACGATCTCATCGGTGGACAGAGGAGTGGGGACCCGATCTTTTTTTCCTTCGTAGTTTTAGATTAGGTTTGTAGATCCTTATTGATCTAGTTTGGTTCCGATGTCACTGACGAGGTGGCGGCGACAATGGTACTTTAGAATAAGGTCTCTCCGGTCTCTACCTACCTTGATGACGTTCGATCTAGCGTCGGCGAAGGACAAATGGGAGTTTGGTCTGTCAGATCTGTTAATCTTCTTCAGATCTTAGCAGTTGGCGTGCTTATCAGAGGAAGCAGTTGTGTCGGGTTCATAAACCCGGGGTCCCTCACGGACCTGCTTCCTAGCAAAACCTCGGTCCAGCAGGCGACGTTGCGAACGACGCGCAACTCCTGGGCTGGCCCAAAAACCTAATGACAGGCCAGAAAGGCCTGGCCGACTCCGACCCGGTTCTCCGACTATAAGAAAACACCAAACTTCTGCTTACAGCTCTTCTCCGACCGGGAGGCCGGAGCCGACTGGGGAACAACCGACTGGGGACGCCCGCTCGATGAAGACCCAGGAGACGGACAGAGCAAGTAAGACAGGGCGCTCCCGTCAAACCGCAAAATAAAGGACTATACCCTACACACCTGCAGGACAGTAATGTCAGGTCATGTCAGAAGGGTACTTTATAACCTTCCAGACATGTCAGAGTACCAGCAGTGTTGTGCACGCCGATATTTATCCTACAATATGGTAGGCGTCGACATTTGCCATACCAGAAGAAGACGATGGAGCCTAC